CTATAGGACAGGCCTAGGGAAACAAAAGTGGCTACGCTATGATCCTTGCCTGTAAGGAAAACACACATCACAAACACACACCCCTATTTATTGACATAGTTGCACTTGGTACAATACAATAGCAAAGAGAGAGTACAAGGAAAAGCAATACTCTCCTGGCTTACTTCTCTTAAGCCTTAGTCCCATTCTCCTAAAGCAACCTCTATTAGCTGTTTCTCTTTTTTATTTTTCTGCGGTTCATTCTATAATTCAGAATATGAAGCTTGTATCACTGTCTTCTATCAATAATTTCTAATTGACTCCTTGTGTGATTATAAGAAGATGAGGATTTAGGTCAGATGGCCCTATACTTCCCCTAGGTCTTCTTCTAATTTGACAGTAATAGTATTCTCTAAAAATTCCTCCATTGCTGACATTTTTAACTTTAAATACTAAGTGTAAATCTCCATTTCTTGCTCTATCACATGCAGTCAGTATTTTATTCCACTCAGGATTATCACTCTCTTTCATCTCCTACCTCATGTATGAAGTAGCCCAATTCTCTAACGTGCAATTCTCTAACAAATTTAGGATTTGGGCATTTCATGTTGGCCTGGTTGCTTTGGGTTCCTCCTCAGCAATTTAATTCTTATGGAGGATGCAAGCCAACCTTTGAATTGCTCTAGAGCCTGTTTTGTCAGCTAAACCTTTGCTTTATATTGTCAACATTTGTAAGATTTGCATTCAGTGCTGCAATTGTGGTAAAGGCTTCCTGCTTTGTGGCTGATTTTAAAAAGGCATTTGTGTTGTTAGGATCAGTTAATGATTGCCCACTACAAGGACAGGCAATATGCTAGGATTGCATGTCCCTTTCTAAGGGTTTAATATCAGCCACGATGGGCTACTTGAAAGGGACACGGCACAATATTATGGTCACATGACTTTTATTTTCTTTCACTCTATCATCTGCTTAAAATCATGTCACATTTTACTTTTGCTTTGTATTTGGATTAATATCTTCTTGTATAGACTATGGCCTTCTGACATCTCTCATCTTTTATCTTTCTCCCTTCTTTCTTTTCTTTCTGACTAAAAGAATGTCTTTATCGCAATCTCAAGTTTAGTAAGCCTTTCAGACGTATCCTACTCTTGCAGAGTCTATGTGTTCCTCCCCTCGTTGGTATAGCCATTCTTCTGAGTTTCCTGGATCCCATGTCTTTCTCCTTCTGAGTTGTTCTCATTCATTTTTGATTGAGTACATCTCTAAGGAACTTCTGAAGTAGGTCAGAAGTATTGAGGCATTGTTTGTCTGAAAATGTCTTTATTTGGATCAATCACATTTGATGGGTAGCTTGGCTGGTATACAATTCTACCTTACAACATCATTTTCCTTCCAGTTTCTCTGACATCCAGTGTTGCTTATGAGAAGTCAGCCTGTTTCTTAGCTTTTGTAGGTAGTTACTCTGCCCGTACCCACCAGCATCGTGGAGGATTTTTATATTTCCTTATTCTTGATATTACTTGTCTCATTGTGGATCTTTCAGAAATGTTATTGTGCTGAGCAAAGTCATTCTCTGACGACATAACTTTCATTTTGGAATATTTATTCCATTATTGATATTTTTGTTAATCCTCACCAGAGGATATTTTTCCATTGATTTTTAGGGAAAGAGTAAGAGAAAGGGAAAGACAAAGAGAAACACATTGATTGGTTGCCTCCTGCATGCACCCTGACCAGGGCTGGGAATTGAGCCTGCAACTAAGGTACATGCCCTTGACCATTATTAAACCTGAGAACCTTTTGGTCCACAGGCCAACACTATCCACTGAGCCAAACTGGATAGGGCTATTCCATTATTTTAAATAAGTGTCTTCTCTCCATTTTCTTCACGTTTCTGTAATACCTATTACCCGAATCATGACCTCCTAGAATGATAAATATATTATCTATACACCTCATCTTTTCTGTCACATTTTTTTTAATAGGTTTTATTGATTTTTTACAGAGAGGAAGGGAAGAGATAGAGAGTTAGAAACATCAATGAGAGAGAGTCATCAATCAGCTGCCTCTTATACGTCCCCTACTGGGGAAGTGCCCGCAACCAATGTACATGCCCTTAACTGGAATCAAACCTGGGACCCTTCAGTCCACAGGCTGACACTCTATCCACTGAGTCAAACCGGTTTCGGCTCTGTCACATTACTTATTTGCTTTAGTTTTATATTATAAAACACTTACTTATACTTTATCTTACAAACCTTCTTGCTAAAGAATAATATAATATATACTACAATAACATAAGGCAAAACCCTGAATTTATAGAAATATTAGTTATATGTAACTAATGTATATTCTACATATAACTCATTCATAACATATATTTTCATAATTCCCTTTAGACATTTATGTTATTATTAGCTTTCTGGTTTGTTTGTGATTTGGTACTTTCTATCCCTTCAATTATCTCTATTTTCTCAACTCAAGGTTTTGGGTTGTTTTTTTTTTTTTATTAATTTTTCATGCTATTGGTTTTCTTACAAGTATTCCTGTCAATTTGGATGTGCCTCCAATACAATCCCTCTCTGCTTGAGTTCATGAGTCAGCTTTAGTTCTAGGCAAGAAGGAACTCTGATTATTATTCTCTCACTTTATCTCTCCCATGAGGTGATTATGATGAAGACAAAGACCTGAATGGTTTAAAAGGAACAGCAAGGCTACTCTCAAAGTTATTCTTAATGCTAGCATGCAAAACCTTACATGTTCTGACTAGATAGAAGAAAGCTTGACATAGAATACTCAGAGATGTTTTAAAATATAGTTTTATTATTTTTAATTTTTATGAGGAACATTACTTGAGCAAAGAAACTGTGCAGGTAAAGCTCACTGGAGACTGAGTGGATAGGAGTATGTTCTCTTTAAACGGCGCCTCTAACACACTGAGCACTTTCTATTGTTTCCTGTGGGACACACTGGAGGTCCATAGTGTTACAACATCTGCATTCATACTTCTCAACCGTGGAGATAAACAATTAAAGTCTAGCCCAGAACCTTCATCAAATTAGATGTAGTGAAAATGAAGGTTGTCATGAGCCTTGTATTCCCCATGAGATGGTCCTGGTTTATACACGCACACATATGATACACACAGCTTAATATTCAGTGGAGACGTATCAACCGACAATAATGACACTCTAATTAGATCATTGCCAGATTCAAAAGGAAAATAACATTATATAAATCTGTTTTACTTCAAAACCAGCAGAAAGATGTTCTGAATCAGATTTCAGTTGGGAATTGATTTACCAGTGTTAACCCTTCAATTTGGTCTGAAGAGACAGACCTGCAGGTCTCTGGAACATTTACCCCAGTGCCTGCCTCCGAGTTTATTATAAGTTCAGATATTCTCACAGGTTGTGACCTGACTTTGTTATTATGAGCAAACAGTGTCTGTGTATTTGGACCAACCTGAAAGGGAATCACACGAGCTCTCTGAACATGCACTCAGCAGTGTTTGAGGTCAAGGACATAAAGGGACGGTCGGCCCAGGGCCTGTAGGATTTCAATAGATTTCCCTCTGTATTGGAGAGACTAAAGCTCACAGGCAGCAAGTCATGGCCGCAGGACTAACCTTTATCTCAATTGACTACAGAGATTCCCAAAAACCAAGTGAAGTCACCTGCCAAAGTCCACAGCAGGGGAGCAGCTGTAGGGATTCAAAAGTCTACACCACACTCACCTGAGGAGACAGTGGGTGTGGCCACGGGTCTGGGCAACGGAGGGTGGGGGCAATGGGACCCTAAGAGGTTTGAGGGAGATCTAGAGGGCAATGGATTTTCATTTTGTGCACGTCTGGACTCTAGCTCATTTGTCAACGTTGCAGGGTTGTACTTTCAGATGCTTCTTCTTTTTTTTTTTTTTTTTTTTTTTTTTTTTTTGTTAATCCTCACCAGAGGATATTTTCTCCATTGATTTTTTTTTTTTTTTGAGAGTGGAAGGGAGGGGGAGAGAAACATCGATATGAGAGGAACACATTGATTGGTTGCCTCTTGTACCCGCCCCAACCTGGGCCACGGATCGAGCCTGCAGCCCAGGTTTGTGCCCTTGACTGGAACTGAACCTGCTACCCTTCAAATCACAGGCCGACACTCTAACCACTGAGCCAAACCAGCCAGGGCTTAGACATTGTCTTGGTGAATGATTGACTAGATGAACTGTGTCGATGATTCCCTCAACCATGTTGCCCCTCCAATCATTAACATGGCCCTTTAGCTTCTCTCCTGTCACTCAGTCTTGTCCTCTTTGAAGCCAGTTGTGAAAGAGTCCTAATGATTACATCTGCACCTTAGATCTCTCCCAGAATGTGTCAGAGCAGATCTCTTTGAAAGGCACCACCCACTGGCACCCTCTCTATCCAGCGCACCTTCACCAGCTTCTCCCCCCACCATCCCTTCCACCTCTGATATGGTCACTTCCCTTCTGAAATCCTTCAGGGCTCCTGCTGACTCCAGAGCAAGGTCTGGCTCTGGCTCTGGCTCTGAATGCCCAGGACACCCTGTCTGCCCTCCCTCAGCCACTCCAATGGAAGTCCTCAGGCTCCCTCCACCGGCTTTCCGATTTGGGGCTTTGCTTTTGCTGCCGCCTGGGAAACGCTGGCTTACCCATTTCTGCATATCTAAATTCTCCTCTTTCCAAGTCCAGACCCAAAGTAGCACCTCCTCCAGCCTCCCGGGTCTGACCGCTGTCTCTCTGACCACATGAAGGCTGTGGAGAGCCAACCACTCTCAGAGCTTTACATGGGGCCTCATTGCATCCTCCCAGCCTGGGAGGAGGAGCTGGTCTCCAGTGACAGACTGAGGCTGAGGAAGGTCAGCTTGTGGAAGGATCTCAAGCTGTGAGTGCTGGGAGCAGGATAGGAACCCCAGTGTGCCTGAGTCAGAGCTGGCTTTCCACCCTCCTGGGATGCTCCAAAGCCCGTAGTTATGTATGTAAGTGGGTCTCTCCTGTGCTGGGGAGCGGGAGAACGTCCAATTTGTGTTCCTGGGTGACTGCAGTATGAACTGGGTGCTCAATAAGAGTGTAAGGACAAGGTGCGGGGTCTTCTTTATGGAGGGAGAGCAGTGCTTGTGACTGGGGCTCCCCTGTGGCCTGCTTGGGGGTGGGAGTTTGGTTCCTTCCCTCCTCCTCCTCAGGTGCTGGAGTGCATCCTGTCCCTATCCCCCACCTCCCTCCAGCTTCCTGTCTCCCCAGCTGCTCCGGGCAGAAGGTGGGCGCTCTGGGAGACCCTAGAGTCCTCCTTCCATTTCTCCACTTCCACCTTGTTTGAACTCCTTTCTGCCATTGTGTGCTTTCCTCTCCTGGCTCTCCTGGGCTGGGATATCCATCTTCCCAGTGGCACTGCTTTGCCCCGTGCTAATTGGAGAGAAACCCATCTCCCTCTTCCCCCTCTGCTCTTGGTGCCTTAGCTCAGTACAACCAGCTCCTTCGACCTCGGATTCTTAGATGCCTCCAGCACTCACAGTGGGCACTGTGCCCAAGCCCTGAATTATGGGCTGCCAGATAATTGATCCATCCCTTCGTTAATGCATATTTATCAAGATCTTATTATCTGCGGGGTCCTGAGAAGGCTGCAATGCACAGAGTAATTGTTCCTGTCTGCACAGACTGCATGATGCACCGTAATTGGTTTGTGGGTATCATCTTGCATCCTCACCTTGATGGTTAATTCCTTGCTGGCAGGAGCCTTATTCTCTGGCCCTTCTGTGGCCTCTACACAGCTTAATACTGCGCTGAGCACAGCACAGAAACAAGGAGCAACAGATAATGTATAGTGAGTTGTAAAACATTTCTGGTTTCAGAAGCATTTCTCACATATACGATCACGTGTTTAAACTGAATCATGAGCCCCATAGCGTAAGCAGGGCAAAACTGAAGGATATTGGTCCCGAGTTGTTTGATGACCTTACAGTTCCTAACATCCATATTCAGTAAATATTGTTCAGCATTTATTAAATGAGGATAGGGGAACTGCTTTTTTTCAGTTTTTCTATTCAGAGGAAGGGATTTAGATATCCTAAACCTTATTTAACACTAGACCTGTTAATTCTTATAGAACATGCAAGTGTTTAAAAAGAATAATAGGGAAAGGCTAAGGGTGAAAATAAAATCCTGTCCCTGCTCTTCCAGAGACAATCAATTTTAACTTTCTGTTTTGTTTTGCATGTAAGAAAATGTAAACAAGGGTGGGCAGAGGGCAGGTGGCGTAGACTGTGAATGTGGCCACAATTCCTCCTATCCTGCTGTGTTTACCCCTTTGCTACGTGACTTTGTGGCTCCTTCCACTGAGAGGCAGGGTGGATGTCCCACCCCTTGAATCTGGGTCGGCCCTAGAACTTCCTCTGACCAGTAGTGTGGGCAGAAGTAACACTTTGCAAATTCTGAGACTGGGCCTTGCTAGGCCTTGCAGCTTCTGCCTTGGACTGTTTGGAGTGCTGTCCCGAGGCTGTCACTTAAGGAAGCTGGTCTGGCCTGCAGAGGAGTGAGAGGCCACATGGAGAAGAGCTGAGGCAGCCCCGCTGATAGCCAAGGCTCCCTGGACCGTCCAGCCAGCCGTCTCTCCAGGGCAGTGCAGCCACAGGTGAGCCCCAGCAAAGTCAATAGAGGAACTGCCCAGCAGCCCCACGGAGTTATGAGAAAGAACTAATAGCTGTTGTTTTAAGAAACTTAGTTTCTTTACCTAGTTTCGGCATTATTCATGAATTTCCTGCTATGACAAATAAGGAGTTAGTTCATTACTTCACTTCCTTCTGTCACACTCACTCATTTTGTCATCGTGGCTTTTCTTTTCATCACCTGGGCGGCCTCAAAATAGTTAAGCCTAAATTACTTGTTCCATGGGTGAAGGTATCTGTTGACTCCTTTACTTTTTATGATGAAAACATTACTGCTTCCTCCCTTCCTGTCTGAATCATCCCCTTCCACCTCCCAGTTTCTTTAGGCTCTCTCTTTTCTTTCCTTAAAAAAGCAACAAACAAACAAACAAACAAACAACAACAAACCTTTTAATTGAAGTATAATCACCCCCCCAAAGTACAGAAATCATAAGTGTAAAGTTTGGTAAGTCTTCACCAAGTGAACACACCTCTGTAACCAGCACCTGTATCTAGAATCAGAACTCACTTTATCACCACCCAGAGGCCCCTGCATGCTCCTTCACTCACTGCTTTCTACCAAATGTATCCATTTTCCTGACTTCTAACATTAGAGGCAAGTTCAGCTTGCTTTTGAATTTTGTAACTGTTCAGTAGGCCCTCTATTGAATCTGGTTTGCTTTGTTCACCATTACATTTGTGAGATTTATCCCTGTTGATGATATACTAATATTTCATTCCTTATTTCTGTGTAGTATTTTATTGTATGAATATATCACACTTTAATTATCTAATGTTGATGGACACTTATGGTCTGGCCAATATTTGGACATTACAATAGTTTTGCAATAAGCATTCTTTATTTTTTTATTTTTAAAATATATATTTTATTGATTTTGTACAGAGAGGAAGGGAGAGAGATAGAGTTAGAAACATCGATGAGAGAGAGTCATCGATCAGCTGCCTCTTGCACACCCCCTACTGGGGATATGCCCGCAACCAAGGTACATGCCCTTAACCGAAATCGAACCCTGGACTCTTCAGTCCTCAAGCCGAGGCTCTATCCATTGAGCCAAACTGGTTTCGGCAGCAATAAGCATTCTTATGCATATTTTGGGTGGACTTAGGTATACATGTCTATTGAGTATATACTTAGATGTGGAATCACTAGTTAATAGAATAATATGTATTCTGCTCTAGTAGATAGTACCAAACAGTTTTTCCAAGTAGCTGTACCAATTTGCACTCCCGCCAGCATTGTAGGAGAATTATTCTTTCCCCTCATCTTTGCCATCACTTTGTATCATCTGAATTTTTTGTTATAACCATTTTGATGGGTGTTTAGTGGTATAATGTTGTGTTTTTTATTTGCATTTCCCTGATGGCTTGAGTTTTTTACTATTACAATGACATCATTTAAAAATATTCCATATTCTATTTATGTATTCTGACACATAAAAAGTGTTTTATATATGTTGACTTTGGATTCAAGAACTATGCTACATTTACTTAATATTTCTAAAATTACCGTTCGATATATTAAGATTTTTATGTACTCAGTCACAACCGAGTGTGATTTCTTTCTTCCCAATCTTTATGATTTTTTTTTCCTTGCCTTATTGCTTTGGCTAGAACCAGCACAATGAAAGAAGATAAAGAGCATCCTTATTTCATTTCCCATCTCCAGGGGAATGCTTTCATGATTTCACCATAAAATAATGTGTTTGCTGTAGATTTTTTGTTTGGGTACTCTTTATCAGATTAAGGAAGTTTACTTCTATTCCTAATTTGCTATGAGTAATTACCATATACTTGCTTTTACCTATTAAGACTACCTTAATGTCTACTTCTCTTTTGTGTTGTTAATGTAGTGAATTACATGAACTGATTCACAAGTATTACACTACCCTTGAATTGCTAAAGTACTAGTAATTCCTACTTGTGTGTGATGTATGGTCCTTTTATATGTCACAGGATATGGTTTGTCAGTATTTTGTTTAAAGTTATGTCTCCATGTTCATGAAGGAGATTGGCTTATGAGAATCCTGAGAGCCTAAATGTGGTTAATTTCATCCAGAGGGACTGCATATTTATCTCCTACAGGACCTAGTGTTACAACCAAGAATTCTTCCCCCTTTAAGGGTCCTGGCTTCTTGGAAATACCTCAGACTTAGCCCATACTTTGCCAAGGTTTCATCTCCATATTGCATAACTGTTATCAACATTTGCCTCTGGGGAAATCTTGCTTTTTGCATTGTTGCAGTCTCTTCTATTTGCTTGCAATGAAAAAATTCACATACTTACAATAAATAAGCAAAGGAATAAAATTGCCAACACTAGAAATTGTATTAGCCTATCCACAATTTGCCTATGCTTTGTGATTGTGCCAGACATTGGATTAAAAAAATAAAAAGCCACTCTGGTGAACACAGTGTTTCATGAAAGTTTACACCACACACACACACACACACACACACACACACACACGTGTGTGCACCCGTGCATGCACACATGCATGCATACACATGCATGCACACCCTTCAATTTTTCTCTTTCCTCAGTATATCCAGATAAACTATAAGCATGTATTACACTGTTCTCCAAAGCTTGTATGTTCTTCTTAATATAAATATTAAAGACAGCATTCCAATCACAACTAAACACTGGTTATATGAATCCAAGTAGTAGTCAAAATAAGGTATTAAAGTACTGAGACGCTTAGAATTATACATTTAAATACTAGTATGAGTGAACAGGTGATATCACATCCCATCAGAGACAGCACTGAAAAAACCCAAAGGAAGGAGAGATGGGCACTCATCGGTGCTGACAGGGACTGGTAAGGGGCTGGAGCTAAGGACTGCAGTGCTCACAGCATCAGGATGGCACCCTGAGTCTGACCCCGTCTGAAACTGCCTTTACAGCTTCCTTATGAAAAGAGGCAGCTGGGAAACAACCAAGGTAGGGTTTCTGTTTTAGGTCACAGCAAAAGAAAGGTAAATGGACAATGAATCTTTTCCACAAAGAAACGCAGACACCACATCTGATGTCCCAGCCTTTCAGCCTGAGAATGCCGTCCTTCTTTCCAGCTCTTCTCTAGGACCCGGAGCTACAGCACTGCACTGCAGCAAGCAGACTGGTCTTTGTCTATGACCACTATTGTGTTTGTTTATTAGAAAAATAAAATGGCAGTAGCATTTATGCACATGTTTATTTACTTTTATTATCATACGAGAGACCCAGTGCACGAAATATGTGCACAGATAGGGTCCATAGACCTGGCTGGCAATCAGGGCTGATCTGTGGAGCAACTGGTGGGTCAATTGGGGGTCCCCCATTGGCACCTGCCTTGGCCAGCCTGTCACTGCCTGTTCACTGGCCTCTTCCCCCATTCGTCCCACCACCGGTTGCCTCCCTCTGGCGATGTAGGGGGTCCCTGCTGGCACCTGTCTTGACTGGCCTGGGGCCTGTGAGTTAGGGGCAGCTCCTGCATTGAGCATCTGCTCCCTGGTGGTCAGAGCATGCCATAGCAACTGGTTGTTCTGCCGTTCATTTGGTTTGTATATTAGGCTTTTATTTGGAGGCTTTCAGTCAATTTTTTATGAGACCTTACATATTTAGAAGTTTTTTCTCCCAAATCCTAGCTTTCCTGTATATCCTATTCTTCTTCCTCTTTAAAAAAAAAATATTTTTATTGATTTCAGAGAGGGAGGGAGAAAGAGAGAGAGATAGAAACATCAATGATGAGAGAGAATCATTGATTGGCTGCCTCCTTCACAGCCCACACTGAGGATCGAGCCAGGCACTGGGCATGTACCCTTGACAAGAAATTAACCTGGGACCCTTCCATCCACAGGCCTATCCACTGAACCAAACTGGCTAGGGCTCATGTTCTTTTTATTATGCAAAATTCCATAGTTTGATGGTGTGAGCAGTACATAAACTGCATGGAGAATGAAGTTACATTATACTGGGGACTGCTTCCTCCTTTGGATGTGACTCACCTTTTTTCTTAAGTTCTTCTCCATCCTTTTGTTCTCCCTCACCTCCTCCTCTGTTTTTCTTTTCTGACTTTTGGTTTTTGGAGGGTTCCCTTTTTAAAAAATATATTTTATTGATTTTTTACAGAGAGGAAGAGAGAGGGATACAGAGATAGAAACATTGATGAGAGAGAATCATGGAGCAGCTGCCTCCTGCACACCCCCCACTGGGGATGTGCCCGCAACCAAGGTACATGCCTTTGACTGGAATCGAACCTGGGACCTTTCAGTCTGCAGTCCGAAGCTCTATCCACTGAGCCAAACCGGTTTCAGCTGGAGGGTTCCCTTTATTGTGATCTCAGTAATGTGTAAAGTCATGTTTGTTGTAATGTATGCCAGACTTCATTTTTAGCACTAGAACCCTTCAGAATAGTCAAGCTACTACATTCCCAGAAATCACATTACTGGTCCACTTTCATCTTGTATAAATGCACGGAGTCTCTCATGTATCCCTGTTCCTTTTAATTATTGTTGATGTTGTCCTTTTTTATTCCTGAAGGTTCATCCTAATGTGGTCTCTGGAGAAAAAGGTAAATGTGTATGTGTTCATGTATTATGTGGAACCACAAACCAGACCGATTTTTCATAGTTGAGTTTTAAATGTGCTCTGCTTTGTTATTTTGATTGCATACCAAAAGGACAGATTAAAAGTAAATAGAAATGTCAACCAAAGGTCTAAGAAAACAAAATTGCCAGTTAGTTAATGAACTTCAAAATGATGAAAAAAAGAATTGAACACTTTCAGAAAGTAAGTTCCAAAGCTTTTTTTCAAAACAAAGTCTAACTTATTGTAGTATAAAAGGGGTCATTGTCTACATATTTATTGACCTAAGATAGTTTACTTGTTTAAATAAATAATGTTATAAGGTAACACTTTACCTTGGAATGATCTTTGGATTTTTTGTAAAGATAAGTTTAAAGGTTCCTGTTTTCTGATTTAATGTCTA